GCCCAGCGCCTGACTCGGGGAAGCCTGAGGCAGAGCAGCTGGGGTGCTCTGCCCCGGGCTTCCCGGAGTCAGCTGCTGGTCAGTTTCACCAGCGGTTGACTCGGGGAAGCCTGGGGCAGAGCAGCTCCAATTGTCCGGCTGCCTGGAGCACTTCCGGGTTCCAGGTTGTGCCGGACTATCAGGAGTGCCGAACCACTGGATGCCGGACAACTGGAGTTTTATTGTACTTTGTGGAGTCTCTGGTCTTAAGACAAAGAAGAAAAATATTCTGAAGAACAGATACATCATGTAGTTTAACTCATTCACTCTTTATATGTGCCTAAATTATTGATCTTATTGTCACGTTCTTGCATTTCTCAGGAAGACTACAATGACTCGCCATTAAAAATTGAGAGAGATTATCTTCACAACTGGAGTTTTATTGTACTTTGTGGAGTCTCTGGTCTTAAGACAAAGAAGAAAAATATTCTGAAGAACAGATACATCATGTAGTTTAACTCATTCACTCTTTATATGTGCCTAAATTATTGATCTTATTGTCACGTTCTTGCATTTCTCAGGAAGACTACAATGACTCGCCATTAAAAATTGAGAGAGATTATCTTCAGAAGGTGTCTGGGGTCCTTCAGCGAATTCTGCTGCCCTTCCGAGCAAGTGGTATATTGTAAAATTGAAATGGGCAAGAAAAGTAATGCAAAAGGTAAATAACAAACTTGTTTAATTTTAATTCCATGATCTGTAGTAAATATTACCGAGGGTTACTTTTTTGAGGGGGAATCCCCTTATCCACTCTAAAGCCTTCCTAATTTTATAAGAATTTCAGTCTCATATAGCTGCTGTCTATATTCTTTTCATACTTTCCTTTCCAAAGGAAATTGGAGCCTGTACAATAGAAGCTAGGGCAGGAAGGTGGATGTTATCCTCAGATAACTTGTGTTTATTACTGAAGGTGGGAAAGAAGTGACCACTGAGTTCCAGACCTTCCTGGGTTTTAGAAATAATAATTATCAACGCCTTATGGATTCATTTAGTAGATTCCAAGGCCAGAAAGGAACTCTGACACATAATCTGATATCCAGAACAACAGGCCATAGAAGTTCCCCAAAAATAATTGTTTATCATCTGCTTGCAGAGCTTCAGCCATCTAGAGCACAAGATGAACTAGAAGCTTGTGGCAACGTCTTCAGCCTCATTGGACACTGCAGCAGTTTCCTCCAGGGGCTGCTGACTAACTGAGCTGCAGCTACTTTCAGTTGCTGTTTTGGCACTTGCCTTCTGTTTCTGGATGGGAAGCTAAATCCTTCCAAGTTTTACCATCGGGGGTGTCAGTGGCTCAGGGGGTGTCTCTGGCTCAGTGGGAGGCCCATTTCTCTTGCTTTGGTCTATTAAATTCCATTGCCCTCTGTACTATATCATCCTATTAAATAAAGTATTGTAGTTTTTCCTAGCTTGTACATTTATTAAATGAAAATGTGTTCCCTTAAAAATTAACCTGGGTTGTGTCAGTAAGTTAAAGGGGTCATTCAATCCTGATATGAAAGATTTCAGTTGATTTCATTAGGACTTTCACCTACTGATGACTTGAAGAATAAAAATTGTTATTAGTAAGCACTTATAAAGGTAATTTGCTAATTTCTCAATTGTCATAAGGAAAATTGTTTTAAGTTTTTCTTTTTCTGCCTCTAGATTCGAATGAAAGGCAATCTTCCTTCATTAAGTTCATTTCCTGATACTTTGCTTCGTTATTGTAAATTGAGTACAATATTTTTTAGACCTCCATCTTCTGGAGACCATCGCTTTGATGATGTTTCTTGTAAAGCAATAGGTTTGTGCATAATAAAATTGAATAATTGATGGTTGGAAAATAGAACAAGGGATGAGAAGCTGCATGTGCCAGGGAACTCTAGTCTTTATTTTTGCATTTTCTTGCAAATGTATCATGATAGTGTCTTCTGTGGTTCTGTAAATCTTTCAAAATGTTTGCAGAAGGATATTTATATTTTGCTATAATTTTAAAATAATGGTATATTGACAAAATATAAATTGTAACTATTGTTTTCAGTGTATTACAAAATAAGTTAATCATTATTTTAAAAGACTAAAAAATGATAAACATCTGTCCATTTAATTTTTTTTACTAAAATTGTAGAGACTGAGGCGCGTACTGAGCCATGCTGCTTTATAGCTGTGATTCCAATGTCTGTGTTTAGTTGAGATTATTTTGGGGTGGGGTGGAAAAGAAGTCTTTTTTTTCTCATATTCTTGAAAGAATGAACTAACTTTAAGATTAAGAAATTTCATAATGTCAAATTACAAGAATAGATCTTATGTTTGAAACTTCTTTAGCTGTATAAAAATGTGATGGGAGAAAAGTTGGTCAAAGGCCAACAAAATGTTCTGTAGTATAAAAAAATCTATAGCCGATAAGTTGAGGCAGATTAATGTAAGAATAATCAGAATTGATGTTGATATAGATTCCTTTGAAGCAAGATTATCTGTTAGAGCTGTCCAAATTGTGTTTTACTTTTATAGTAACTTTCTTCAAAGATTCTAAGGAAATTTTAATTTATGAATACAAAGATGCCAAAATTTTTGGTTTCTGTGATCCAGAATTTGCTATCAGACAAGAGAAATGAAAACCTGACCCTATGAAGAAGAATCTTTAATAATTTTTGAATAGTTGTTGCTATATTCTTTTAGCAGAATTAAAGGGATAAACTGTCAACCCCAATTTTCTATGAGTGCTTGTCCATATGTATTCCACTTCTGGTGCACATGAGCTCAAGTTCAGATTCTTTTGGACAGCAGTGTCTTTTGGAGTATCTCTGTATCCAGATGTCCTCCTGCACCCAATCTGAGAGAGCAAGCCCAAACATCCCTCAGTTTCTTCTTACTGCCAGGGTCTGAGAGTTGGTACAAATAAATCAGTTTAATGTGAGGTAAGCTGGTACCTTAGCAAAGTCCATACCTCTCATATAAATATTAGTTGGTAGTTTGTTTAGTATTGTTAGCTTTTTTTACTGTTTAAGTGTTTTTGTTAGTTTTTCAACTAGCCATTACGACTGAACTGAAGTCTTCTAGTTTCAAGTCCCTTCTTGTGATACAGTTATGTTGTTTAATGGTACATCTGTGAGGTGCACATTCCTGATGTAACATTTGCAGATGATTCATTTATTAAATGCAAAAAGTAATAGAGACTTGCCGTGGACGAGCTTTGGGGTGCAATCACCCCCTGCCAGTGGGGCCAAAGGGGTTCAGTGGACCCTCTCGCCCGGCTAGTCAACCCCTGGGGCCGGATTCCCCGGGCTGGGGGCCAGTGGGTTGGGTGCAGTCACCCCCTCTCTGACGAGCAGGAGGGATTCAGCGAACCCGCTGTTCGTCCTACTTCCGCAGCCAGTGGGTCCAGGACCCAGAGTTAGTTTTAGTCCCTCTGACCTTGCCTGCCTGGCTTGCCGGCAACAACGCGCACTGCCACCTAGCAGGGCATGTGGCTGTGAGTAAAGAGAGGGAGGAAGACCCGGGCCCACCCACTCCACTGGGTTCCAGCCTGGGGCCCTAAGTGCAGGGGGCCAACAGTGCCCCTGCAGGGCAGGCAGGAGTTTTTACGCCCTCAACACGTCTGCCCACAGGCACCACCAAGGCCATGCCCCGGGCTGCTTGCTCCCCTCTAGAGGCCCCCGGGCCTGCCCTCTAGTGCCCCTGCGCCTACCGTGGTTTGATGGTTGGTGTCTGGGGGACTTCTTAGTTGTCCGTGACTCCCGTTGCATTCTGCGAGGGCTCTCCTGGGCTGCTTGGAGTCCGGGATGCGCCGTTTGCCTCCGGTGAGGTTGGCGAGGGGCCACTCTGTGGCAAGGACTCACTGTCTGTTGGTCGTGGGGGCTGTTCCAGGTGGCCTCTTGGCCCTGGTCCACAACCTACGTCATGGTCTATCCATTTTAAAATGGCCTGCCGGCCGTGACATCGTCCAGAGGACCCGCCCTTTCGGTAATGTAGGGCGCTCCCCTGCTGCGTCCGGGCAGTCACTTTTCATCCCTCTCAGTGTTACGGTGAGGGTGTGGATGGGGGATTCCGGCCCCGCCGCACTGCTGTGTCGGCGACTTACCGCTGGGGCTCTTGCCCCGTGGCTCCGCTCGCTCCTCGCCTTCCCCCGCTGTCCAGAGTGCAGGCCAAGGATGGCCCGTCACACTTGCCTTAAAACAGTTTTTATTAGAAAATTCTTTGAAACTTTCTTCGGATCCAGGAGGAATCCAGAAAGATCAGATCAAGCCTCTTCTTAAAGTGCTTTTGTGAACTCAGATATAGCCCTCAGCTTATTCATGGAAGTATATGTCTTCAGAACAGCTGGGAGGTATGATTCCTAGCTCAGTTAGATATGTGTATGCAAGTGTAGCTGCAGGAGCTCAGGGTAGCTCTTATACACCTAAGAGCTTAGACAAGGTTATTCTCAGGGGACTAGCCTGAGAGAATATCTGTGCCCCTTCAACTACACTATTTTTAGAACATGGGGTTAAGCAGAGCTAGCTCTTGTACGTCTACCTGAGCTAGCAATCACATCTCCCAGCTGTTGCGTAGACAAAGGCCTAAGTGGACATTCTCAGATTAGTAAGACAAACAGGGTTAGAAAGAAGAAAGGGCACTGCTCTTCTAAAGAGCATAAGGCTAGATTGCCCTCTCTGGGTCCTAGTGTGAAAAGGCAGACATCTCATTTTGCCTCTTTGAAAGGTAACAAGGCCCAGATTGGGTCCCACTGACACCCTCACAAGCACCAGGCATCATGCTTGCATAATACCATTCCCTTGGTACTGAATTCTGATTACCAGTACTGATGGCCTTAGTTGATCATCCCACATTCAGTATCATCATTCCTGGTACTGAAAACTTCTATGGTTCTGAACAGTCTTATGATCTAAACTCAGCCCAAATCATCACTGTGGCCTGTGGTGAAATTATTCTGTTTACTTTTCAGTAACTGGCTCTTTGAAATGCGTTGTTTGTATGTATTCCACAACCCATCCTTTTTACCTGCTGCTGTAGAGTCCTCTAACACCTGGATGTTGTATGGGTAAATGAATTCGGGCCTGTTCTTTGACCTCTGCCCTCATTTGGGAGTGTGGGAAGACACTTATGGCATAGGTATATACCCAGAAGATCCTATAAGCCAGAAAAACCTGAGCTCAAGCACATTGGTCACATTGACGCTAGAAATGGAATATGTATGGGCAACATATTTTGAACTACCCACCATCTTAGTGGCTCAAAGGATATAATTCCACCACAGCTGTAAAGTTAAGAATGTAATTAGAGGCGGGAGTTTGCTGTTGACAAAGATGATAGAGTATCTCCTGTGCCAACTTCCTCCCATCATGAATCAGGACTGGGGTTGTAATAGTTTGAGGACCAGGAAAATGTAAATGTATCTGCACACTGATTGTCCTTGTCATGCTTATTTCTGCTGAGCTTGTCTTGACACACAAGAACATCTGACTGAAAGTCCATTCCAAGATACTGAATGCATGTTTTATAGATTTAACTGTGATATTGAAACTTACTGATAAAGAGACTACAGAAATCCAACTACTGGTTATTCTTGAAAAATCAAGAATGAAAACCTTTCCTCTGTGTTACTGCTCTGTATAGTTGATCAATTTTAATTAAGTTGTTCCTTTATTTCACCCTAAGTAACTTAAGTTGTACTGCATTATTTCTCTTGTAGGTTCTTTCCGAGAATTATGTGCATTGTGTTGGATGCTTCATGTTCGTGAAAGATTGTCTGACTGTTGCAGAAAGTACCAAACTGCAAGAGAAACTGTGGGTAATCTAAAGGTAATTATAGTAGCATTACAGTTATGGTTTAACTGTAACAGTATATATTTCTGTGAGTAATGTTCCTGTCATGGGATCACTGACCGCACTGAGTTTTTCAGGATTTATCTCATTCCCAGCATTTGTGGCGGCAGTGGCAATGGCTTTCCTGGTCTCACCTCTGCCTACGGACTCTTTACAGCTCCTTTCTCTTGGCATCTGCCCTCTGGCATAGACCTCCAGCCATGTCATCATATGGTTTCCCCTCCCCCTGCTTCCAAGGGTCTCCTCTCACAAGAGTCCAGCCACTTCTTGCAGTGGTTGGGCAGGATTCTGGGCCCTGGCCTCAGGGACTCTGCAAATATCAGCTTCCTGCTTACCTCTTCTTTTCCTCTAACTGTCTCTATTCCCTGGGCCTCTTCCCCACAGTCCCCGTTCCTTCTGTTCCTGCCTTTGGCTTCAGTTTCTTCACCACTTTTCCTGGCTTCAAGCCTGTAAGTCCTGAAGGTCCATCAGGTGCTCTTCTTAGCTCCCCTGGTCCCCTTCTCCAGGAGCTCGTCGCTCATTAGCCATCTGCAAATTTAGCCTTCTTGCTAGGAGTCCAGCAGCAGACTTGCTCACTCTGCTCCGCAACTTCCTTTTATGTGGGCTGGCTGAGTCCTGATTGACTGGCCCAGCCACCACTCTAATTGTCTGTAACTGCCACCCAGTTGTCTGTAGTCAGGGTCCTACTTGGCTGTGTAGGGCTGGTGACCTGTCACAGATCCCTGTATGTATTCCACTATGGGTGCACATGTACCCCATGTGCCTGAAACCAGAGGATTCTTGCTAGCAATGTCCATTGGTCCATACCTGCAACCCTTTCCTCCTCATGCTCTCAACCAAGCGCATAAATGAGAGGCAAAGGCACCAGTCTAGCTAGAGACAAACAAGAAAACATTTACAAATATATTAGCAGCAAAAGGAAGTCCAAGGACAAGGTAGGCCCATTGCTCAATGAAGAGGGAGAAACAACAGAACATGTGGAAATGGCGGAAGATTGGTGGAGACTGGATGCCTAGCATAGTGAATGCTAGTGCAAATGGGGTAGGTTTAGAAGTTAAAATAGGAAAAGAACAAATTAAAAATTACTCAGAGAAATTAGATGTCTTCAAGTCACCAAGGCCTGATGAAATGCAACCTAGAATATTCAAGGAGCTGATAGAGGAGGAATCTGAGCCATTAGCTCTCATCTTTGAAGACTCATTGAAGTCAGGAGAGATCCAGAAGACTGGAGAAGGGCAAATACAGTGCCCATCTATAAAAAGAGAAGTAGCAGGGAATCTACAGACCGGTTGGCTTAACTTCTGTGCCAGGAAAAATAATGGCGCAAATAATTAAGGAATCCATTTGCAAACATCTGGAAGATAAGGTGATAAGTAAAAGCCAGCATGAATTTGGAAAGAACAAATCATGTCGAACAAATCAATAGCTTTGTTTGGCTGGATAACCAGTCTTGTGCATAAAGGGGAAGCAATAGAGTGGTATATCTAGACTTTATTAAAGCATTTGCTATGGTCTTGCATGACCTTCTTCTCAATATATTAGTGAAATACAGCCTAAGTGGGGCTACTATAAGGTGGGTGAACAACTGGCTGTGTAACCATTCTCATAGAGTAGTTATTAATGATTCACAGTCATGCTGGAAGGGCATAACAAGTGAAGTTCCATGGAGGGGGAGGGGGTCACTTTTGAGACTAGTTCTATTCAGTATCTTCATAAACAATTTAGATAATGGCATAGAGAGTATGCTTATCAAGTTGGCAGATGATACCAAGCTGGGGAGGTTTGCAAGTGCTTTGAAGGATAGGGTCATAATTCAAAATGATCTGGACAGACTGGAGAAATGGTGTGAGGTAAACAGGATGAAGTTTTGTAAGGACAAATGCAAAGTACTCCTTAGAAAGTGGCTCTCTATGAAGGAGTACTTGTTGTCCTAGTGGACCAGCAGCTAAATATGAGTAAATGGTCTGACATTGTCTCTCGCGCCTCCCCCTCCCCCCCCCAAAAAAGGAAATATGATTCTGGGATTCATTAACAGGAGAGCTGTGAGCAAAACCCGGGAAGTATTTCTTCCATTCTACACTACACTGAAGAGGCCTCAACTGTAGTATTGTGTCCAGTTCTGGGTAGGAATGTAAGCAAGTAGTTGACGACTCTCATCCACCCCTGCTCCTCTGTATCCAAGGCAGTAAGTGAAGGGGAAGCAGGAGCCAGTGCTGCAGGGAGCCAGCTTAAAAGCCGATTCCCTCCAGTACCATATCCAAAGTGCTACCTGCCCCCCACTGCTGCTCCCTCTACAAGAGGAAGTGGCACGGGTGGGGGAGCAGCGGAGGCTGCCATGAAGCAACCTCTGCTGGCAGCTCTTAGTACATTTAACTGCAGAGTTGGAGGGGGGGGCGGGTTAGCTCCTGGACCTGGCACGAGCCAGGACTGAACCAGACTTGCTCAGTCCCAGGTCATGCTGACTCTAGAAGCTATCCCTGCTGCATCTCTGTAGTTTAAATGAAGTAGGAGCCCGGCTGCTTGCTGCCTGCCAGGCTCTTACTACATTTAAACTGCAGAGCTGAAGTGGTGGTAGCTCTTACACCTAGCATGAAGCAGGACTTGAGCACCTTCCCCATCAACTAATCGTGTAATCGGTAAATATTCTATTGATTACATTATTAGTTAAATACCTGCTTCTTAACATCCCTAATTCCGAGTACCACATTTCAGAAAAGATGTTGAGTAATTTGAGCAGGTCCAGAGAAGAGAAATACAAATGATTAAAGCATGACACATCTAAAAGGGTGTTACAAGGAGGAGGGAGAAAAATTGTTCTCCTTAATGTCTGATAGGACAAGCAATGGGCTTAAATTGCAGCCAAAAAGGGTTAGATTGGAAAGTAGGAATAAGGTATCTTCCGGAAAAGGGCTTATTTTCCGCAAGATTCCGTCTAGACTGGTGCTTTTCTCCAGCAAAACCCCGAGCCGGAAAAAAGCGGCAGCCATGTTCATGCAAATGCCGCGGGGGATATTTAAATCCCCCGTGGAATTTGCAATTCTGAAGTGTCTCATTAGCATCCCTTTTACAGAAAAGGGTGCCAGTGTAGACACAGCCTAGGAGAAACTTCTTAACTTTCTGGGTGGTTAACTACTGGAATAAATTCCCTAGCGCCATGGTCACCAACCTATTGATTGCAATCAACTGGCTGATTGCAGGAGCGTGACCAGTCGATTGCAAAGTGTTCCAATACCTCTCCCTCCCTCCACTCTGAAGAAGGAGCCTGCTGGAAAAATGGAGGTAGCACTGGATTTTCGTGGCATGGGAGGGGGAATCAGGAGACTGTGCACCAGATCCAGCATCTTGGGAAATACACACTATCACTTATTTGCACTGTAGTGTTCAGGAAGTAGATCTCTTGTGTAGACTGGTCTAGGCTGAGGTTGATGGTGGGATGGAAACTGTTGAAAGCACGGTGAAATGCTTCCAGAGCCTCCTTCCCATGGGTCCAGATGATAATGATGTCATCAGTGTAGCGTAAGTAGAGGAGCGGCGCTAGTGGACAAGAGCTGAGGAATCATTGTTTTATGGCTGACCTGGAACAACGCTTCCTGTCACACAGGGAATCCATACGAGCCACCTCTTGCATAGAGGGTTATGAATTTCCCTAAGAATTACTGGAGGAAATGCATACAGTTACAGTTAGTGTACTGTTTCCTAGGGTACATCTAGTCTGCAGACTTTTCTGGGATACCAGAGGTATCCCGGAAAAACTCTGCCACGTTGAAGGAATGCATCCGCCTTTCCGAAAAAGTCAGAAAAGCGGATGCATTTTGTCGGCATCCCTGTAAACTGCATTTCGCGAAGAAGAAGGGATGTTTTAAAGAGGGTTTTTTTCTGACATTTGGCCCTGTGTAGACGGGCCAAATGTCGGAAAAACCTCTTTCTGAAAAAAAGTGGAAAAAATATGCAAATTGTGGTATGCAATTTGTGGATCTTTTTCCGACTTTTCTTTGTAGAGTAGATGTAGCCCTAGTCCACCTGTAATGAAGATTGTCTTTCTGGTTGTTATAAAACCAGCCAGAGGAGTAGATAAGGTGGTGGCCCCTATGGCCAATCCATTTTATAGTCTCTTTCACAATGGTAAAGTTTCCGTGAGATTACACTCAAATTCATTTCTAAAGTAATCTCAGTATTCCACCTAAATGAGACCATTCACTTACTTTTCCCTTTCCCAAAGATGTATGCCGTTAGTGTGGTAGGAAGTTGCACACTCTGATTTTTCCATTGAGCTTTGGCATTCTGCCTGCAAGGGACTAAATCCTTTATGAAATCACCTAAATGATTTCTATATAGAATTTAGAGACCTTCGCTAGAAGTAAGAAAGAAAGCTTACCTACCTTATAGTAACTGGAGTTCTTTGATATGTGTGGTCCCAAGCTATGTTCTTCTGCTCAGCCTCTCTGCTTCCCCTTATGTGGTACCTTATCCTAGAGGTGTTCACAGTAGAAAGGTTACTGGAGAGGCAACAGTTCATGCCTGCCCCTTACGTCCTTTGGTGCCTGAAGAGGAGAGGGGCATAGAAAGCAAACCCTGCTACCAAGAATCTTGTGGTGTCATGTGCATGAAGTACATATGCACCTGCAGTGGTCTGCAGACAGGGACTGCTCATTTTAAAAATCTCTACCTATTCCAAGATAAGTAACCTTTCTTCTGAAACAGTCAATATCCAGTGCCTTACTGTGGGCCCTTGAACAAAGTATAAATATTCTGGTTTTATTTACTATTTTATACAAATTTATCTTTTCAATATTAACTTTTGTTTTCTTTGTGCACAAAACATTTTGGCTTCATTTATAACAACTGATATATAATTACTGTTACAGAAGACACAATAAATGCCATATGTTATCAGATCTCTCTCTTCTTTTGTCTTCTCTTGAGTCATGATACTGGAAGATAAAACCTTGATTTAAATTGAGGCAAACTTTTATCCTAGTTTCTTTGAGCACCAAGGTCTAAGCTATGTTAATGTGCCAAATTAGCTTCATGCACAGTAAGACAAAATTTGCATTTTTTCAACCCATCTATGATATACATTTTAATGAGTTCATTAAATAAAGAAAACAGAGTATGGAATGTATCACTGTAATTGCTACCAAAAAAAGAAAAAAATGTCCTATTTCTTTTGATTTATGTCTTTAATTAACCACATTAAAATGAACTAATGTCCCAGGAAAAATAACATATTTAAGATGTATAGCATAATTGACATGGACAGCATTATTCTTTGGTGACTTATATTAATAGAATAATTATGGCAAAATGCCTCAGGACACCACAATATCTTAGAGTAACATTGCATTAGCCTACTGAGTGAAACAGAGTTCTTTCTAGGAGATCACAAAAGTATGCAACAAATTTCCAGAGATCGTATTATAGAACAAAACTGATCCATCTTAGTTGCATTCCAGTTATTCACTACAGTATCTTGTTTCAGAAGTAAAAGTTACGTGCACCTAGGAAACTTTGCTGAAATATTTTTTATTTAAGTATTACCAGTTGTGCATTTGCTATGCTTAACTTTAATCTCACAGTACTATATTTTTGAGCTGGTTGATACCAATCTGTAGGATTTGCTGCAGAGTGATTCGAGGCTCTCTCCAGCAGAGCCAATAATTATTTCCAGAGCAGTAATAGATTTTGGGATTTTGAATGTAAGATAGTCAATGGATTCAAGCTAGCTAACACAGAGTGCTATCTCTAGGCCATTGAGCTACTTGCTTCTATTCTTTGCTCTGTATATTTGGTATGAAATGATGACAATTGCCTATAGATTATATATTTATCTGCAATTTTTCATGTAAATCAGATAATATTTATCTGACATTCTCTTTTTTAGGACTGCAAGAAAACTGAATATGATGCCCATATAGTTGAGCACAGTCTCAATGCAATGGAATGGGCTTGTCGCATGCTCCCTTTTGCTAGGTTCATGAATGTTGAGGAACTAGTTCAAGATATAATTCTGAGCCTTGTTGGAGAATTACCTCCAATCAGAAAGGTAAAAGAAATCTAAAACTTCAAAAGACATTGAGAATGACAAGATTGTAGCTTCCATGCAAATGTTATTTTTAGAGTTCTAAATAATGCAAGTTTTGTTGGCAGTTTTACTATGTGTTGTTTTTTCCCATCAAAATGAACCTTGAAACTGATATATTTTGTACAGGTGGCAGAAATTTTGGTGAAAGCATTTCCTAATTCTGAAGATGTAAGAGTTCCTTTAAGGGATAAATATCATGCACTTCAGCAACGACTTAGACACTGTATTGTCAGAGGTAATGTACATTTTTCCTCAGGAAATAGAAAATGGGCTTAATGACTTTATTGTGTTTTTAGTTGTTCTTATGAACAATAATACAGGTAACATTTCTGTCCTATAGATGAGACATTAAACTATTGCCTTTTGTCTAGATAGTAGTTAAGAATATCACAAATTAAGTTCAATGGTATGATTTTCAAAAGAGGTCAGTGTTAGCGTAACTTTTCTCCCTTTGGCAATACTGTAGTAACATTGTTAACCTCAGTGGGAGCAGTGTTAGCCAAACACTTGACTCTTTTGAATATTCCATCATGGTTGTTTGAGCTATCATTGAGTTAATGGCTACTTGTTTTGTGTCCATGATCTTTAGTGTGATGGCCGAATATTTAAAGCAATTTTTACAGTACTGCATATAAACGCTACTACTTTCAAATTTCTTCATTGTTTACTTTTAAGAATTGTCCTTACAAATAACAGTAAAAAGTTATTAATCTAGATGAAGGATCACATGCAGCTTCTTAGAGTGATTGCTCATGTCTATTATGATATATGTTTGCATATGCTGTGTGCCAAATTGTTGGAAAACTTTTTCCTAGCAGTACCTGTAAAGTTAGCTGTGGGCACCCTCTGTGGTGACACCTCGCAGTATTGCCTATATACCCCTGCTGATCCGACTCCAACTTCAATTCCTTCTTTCTGCTAGTGAAAGTCATTGGAGCTTCTGACTTTCTTGCTTCGCAAGTACTTAGTCCCTAGCAAAGCTTTCGTTTGTTGTATAGATTAGTTGTTTGTAGTAGTTAGTTTAGGGTTATTTCCTCCTCTATCCCCTCCGCCCCCCGACTCAGAAATAACTTCCGCAACTAGGCACAGGCACACGGAGCCAGCTCCAGCACCATGTGTGTCAGCCAGCCTGCCGGCACCTAAGAAGGCGCAACAAAAATCTGAGTGGGCACGGGATGCCAGCTAACATTCTCTCCAACTTCATCATCCCCATTGCCTACACCGTGCTCACTTCCACTACAATTCAGTGGCACCAGGCACAATATACAGGGGCAAGACAGGTATTATAGACCAGCCTCCTCTTTATCGCCTGCACCTCACCAGCCTTCGCCACGACAAGCTCACAAAATATATGGTTCCTCATCACTGCCCCCTTCTTCAAGGGGATCACATAGGTCACCCTATTTTCCAGTACTTTTGGTGCAGCACATGATCATGAAGCGTGTTTTCATCCCAATACTTCTCTCCTAACAGATTGGCATACTGACAACACAGGCATGCATACCATTGCAACTATCCTTCTCATTGGTCAACACATCACCATTACAAATGACTGGCATACCACGCGCCTTGCTGCCTCAGACATTTCTCTGTACACAGATCCACAACCTCTCCCACACTGCTACACAGGCAGGAGGTCACAGAGACATCCTTCACCTTACATCCCGCAGCTCAACAATCCGAATCTGAGGAGAGCCAAATATCTGAAATGGAGGAAGATTAGCCAGATATTTCACCGACTGACCACTCCTCCTCATCCCCAGATGAAGCCGTTATCCTGGATGATCAGTCACCACCAGATGACCTGAAGCAGTTTCAGGATCTCTTTAAAAGAGTGTCTGCTAGCCAAGACATGCAACTAACTGAGGTACAAGAGAAGCAACACCGCCTTCTGAAAAACCTTCTAGCCCTCCCAATATGCAAAAATTGTGATTCCAAGAGATGAGGACATTATGGAGGCTGCCAGACCCCAGTGTCCATGCCTCCAATTAATAAGGTGTAGATTAAAAAGTATTTTGTCACCCTGAAGGGCGCTGACTTTTTATTTTCCCACTCACAACCTAACTCTTTGGTAGATGCTGCTCAAGAGAGATTCAGGCTTCCACAATACAAAAATATCTGCCGATAAGGAGAGCAAACTCAAGGATCTCTTTGGAAGGAAGGTTCACTCCTCACCAACCCTGCTTCTCCACATAGCTAATTATGCAGCCCTGCTGTACAACCACAACTTTGGCAGCTATACCACGCTCATGGCCCTCATCAAACACCTGCTGGATTAAAAGAGGCCAATATTAAAATACATTGTCCATAAGGGGTATGCTTCAGCAAGAACATCTCTCCAAATAGCCCTTGATGTGGCTGATGTGGCAGCTCGTGCTATGGTGACATCGACAGTTACGAGGAGGGCCTTGTGGCTACAGTACGCTGCGGTCCCCCATGAGCTGCAAACGAAAGAGGAACACTACCCTTTTGATAAGCAAAAATTATTCTCCAGAAAGACAGATGAGGTTCTACACTTGACTAAAGACTCAAGAACCACCCTTCGTACCTTGGGTATGTACATTCCACCATAAGTTCCAAAGACATTGTGATTTTTCATATTGAAGATACCAGCAGCAAGACTTCAGCCAATCTAGAGCAAGACAGCGGCCTCAGAGGAGGCATCCTCAGAACAATCATAACTCGAACCAGCAGTCTAAAAAGCAGCAGGTTTGAGGTCCTGGTCGAGGGCTTGCAGAATTTCCCCTTGCTGAGTCACCCCGAATATTCCGCCCCAACCTTCCACCATCGTTTGAGACCATTTCACCGTTGCTGGGCCGCCATCACATTGGATTGTTGGGTCTGGAGATGGTAACATCCGGCTACACCATTCCATTCACAACACTACCCCTCACTTCTCCACTCTCCCTTTCCCTCTTCAGGGACCCCTCTCATGAAGATTTACTGAAAAAGGAGGTCTATCAACTTCTCAACATTGGAGCAGTGCCCGAGACGGTGCCTGAAGAGTTCAGGGTCAGGTGCTTCTGTTCCCACTATTTCCTCATAGTGAAGAAGACGGGTGGTTGGAGGCCTATTCTAGACCTTTATAGTTTGAATCAATGCCTTCAGAAACAACGATTCAAAAATAGTGACTCTATCATCCATAATCTAGTGTTAGAGAAAGGAGACTGGTTTGCAGCCCTCAACCTGCAAGACACCTACTTTCATATCACTATACACCCCACGCACAGATGATTCCTATGCTTTATGGTTGGATCAGAGCACTATCAGTACGGCATCTTGCCTTTCGGCCTCTCATCAGCACCCAGGGTGTTCTCAAAGACACTTGCTGTTGACAAAGCATACCTGCGCTGACAAGGAGTTATGATCTTCCCTTACCTTGAGGTCTGCGTAATAAAAGGACCATCCACTACAGATACACTCCGTATGATACTAATAACCAGACAAATGTTCAAGCTTCTCGGTCATATCCTCAACAAACACAAATCAACTCTGACCTACACGGATCCTAGAATTCATAGGCGCTCAACTAGAGTCTGCTACAGCAAGAGCATACCTACCATTACAACGGTTCCAAACAATCCAGGACCTTGTATTCGCAGTCACAACCAGTTCTACAGTGTCAATACTTACTGAAATATGGAATCACTGTGTTTGTCTGATATGCTGTTTATAAGGAATTTAATGTCAAGAGACACTACCAGTCGAGACATAGCATATACGACAAGCTAACAGGGCGCGACCGCAGTGAAAAGTTGAAGCAACTTGAACCTGTTTTAATGTCACAACAGCGATTTTTCACAAGAGCCCGTGAGTCAAATGAAAATGCCACAAGGGCAAGCTATGAGGTGGCAACATTAATTGCTAAAAATTGCAAATCTTTTGCTGAGGGTGACTTTATCAGAGAATGCATTATGAAAATGGTTGAGAATATCTGTCCCGAGAAGAAGCAAGAGTTTGCCAACATTTGCCTGGCTCGTAACACTATAGAACGGAGAATTGAAGAGATTTCATCAGATATTAAGAGACAGTTGACGTCCACAGGAGTGGATTTTGACTTCTTTTCAATAGCCTGTGATGAAAGCACGGACCTATCTGACACAGCTCAGTTGCTGATTTTTATGAGAGGGGTGGACGATGAAATGAATGTGACTGAAGAGCTACTTGACCTCCAGAGCCTTACGGACCAAACAAGAGGAAAAGATTTATTTGTTTCTGTTAGTTCCGCCATAGATGACATGAAACTGCCTTGGAACAAAGTTACTGGGATTATTACTGATGGGGCACCTGCCATGGTTGGTGAACGAAGTGGATTATCAACCCTAATCTGTAACAAGGTGATCGAAGAAGGAGGCAAAGCTATTAAACTCCATTGTATCATTCATCAACAAGTTCTCTGTGCTAAACATCTCAAATATGATCATGTTATGAAACCGGTGCTAAAGACTATTAATTTTATTCGCTCTAAAGCCCTGTGCCACCGCCAGTTTAAACAGTTTCTACTGGACATCCAGGCTGAATACGAAGATGTTTTATATCACAACGATGTAAGATGGCTCAGTCGGGGGTCTGCACTGCAGCGTTTCTACTCTCTCAGAAAGGAAATCGGAGAATTCTTGGAAACAAAGGGACAACCAATGCGAGAACTATCTGATCCTATTTGGCTGGCTGATTTGGGGTTTCTAGTTGACATAACAAAGCATCTGAATGTACTGAACACGAGTCTTCAGGGGAAAGATGCAGCGGTGAACCAGCTTTATTCACACCTCAAAGCCTTTGGGACAAAGCTGCAACTTTTCATAAGGCAGTTGTCACAAACACAGCCCAATACCATACATTTTTCAGCGTTGCAGGAAATAATGAACAGTTTTCCACAGGACAATATCAGTGCGCAAACGAGCAGGTATGCAGCAGACATTGCATCTCTGGCTGGGGAGTTTAAACGGCGCTTTCAGGACTTTGCAGCTATTGAAAAGGAGATCAGCCTTTTCTCCTCTCCATTCTCTGTTGACCCCGAGGATGCTCCAGATCAGCTGCAGCTCGAGCTCATTGAGCTGCATTGTGACAGCGAGTTACGCAGTCGTCACCAACAGCTCTCTCTTGTGAACTTTTACCGCCAACTGGATAAGAGCCGGTTTCAAGAGATTCGAACATTGGCTAAGAAAATGCTGAGCTTGTTTGGCTCAACATATATGTGTGAGAAGACATTCTCTGCTATGAACTTTAACAAGAACC